CGATAATAGGGCAAAGGGGGGCGGACGCACACCAAGGGCACCTTTACTGAAAATTTTTTTTCACTGCAAAATCTTTTGGCGACCTTCCCCCCCCCCCTCTCCCCGTCGCCAAAAAAATTTCGGTCAGTGTACCATTTTAGGGGTCAAAAATTTTTTCCAGACATACAAAAATTTTCCGTGAAGCCAAAAATTTTTCTGGATATCTTAAATTTTCGCCATTTCTTCAAAATATTTTTCTAAATTCCAAAAATTTCCCAAAATTTTTATAAATAGAAACTATAAATTCCCTGAATCTCGTGATTTTCCTACAAAAAGCATCGTTGGAAATGTGATTTATCACGTATTATTTTACAACTAAAAGGGCACTTCTGCCCCCCCTGTCCCCCTAGCAAAAGGCAAGGGGGGCAGCCGCCCCTCCCCTGCCCCCCCAGTTCCGGCGTCCCTGGAGAGATCCCAGACGCATGTAGAGGTCCTATCCCATAATTAAAGTAAATGACGTAAAATTAAACAAAAGTTAGAAAGTAACGAAATATTTCGCCACAAAATGAAAATAACGATGTAAAACATTACTTCTTAAAACGACTTCGTTCCAATTAAAAGTACTCCAGAAAAAGTTTACTTTGTTACATGCTCACTTCTCAAAAATAATACTCAAGTACAGTAACGAAGTACATTTACTTCGTTACTTGTCACCATTGTTTAGCCGTACTTGATTCAGTAGTACTCCAACAATTTTTACCGCGTACTTGAGCTGGTAGAAACTTAAGAGTCAAGACCAGTCAATGCGTACCTATTGGGCTACTTCTGAGTCTTGTGTTTTTATATACATACGTATATATATGCACGGTCTTCGACGGGGAAAAATTAATCCCTTCTGAATTTTATATATTTAATAAATGCGTTAAGTAGTACGCAGTAATTATCATGCATAAAACTATACGCTCTACATTTATTTCAAATTGGGTTATTTCATGATATTTTAATATCATGTTTTAAAAAACATTTTACGACAGTTTCCGAAGTAAAGTCGACAATTTCCGTCACAACTCTTACACTTTTAGCGTTACATAATGGCTAGCCCGCGAATGGGCTAGCCGCAAAAATTAGTCTATAATGGGACTTGTCTATTACGAAAACGAGGCTGTATAGCCAAAGTGACGTACATTCAGGAAGGATCTGTTAATGGTGGCAATGAGGTACAGGGAGGGTTAACCTGCGATTAGCCTGTGCCCTCAAAATTGGGAGGGTGAAGCCGGTGAACTCAATATATCTCTGGACTGTTTTGGTTTGGAATGTGAAACCGAGCCACAGATTGAAGATATTTTTAATCTGTGAAGGCCTCAGTGGTGAAGGCCAAGAAACCAGCAACAAGTTGGTAACTGATCTCTATTAACTGGACTGATTAAATAAAGATAATGCATGTGGACAGTTCTTCTAATGATAACACAACTAAAATAAACATATGGTATAAATAATTGAGAGTTTCAAGATCCATTCTAAGATTATAATTCAATGTTTATAGCATCAGACTAACTATCAGGCATCAGTAGCATAGCTAGCCCGACAATTTAGTCCTGCTATGCAAATATTTTTGTGTTCATTCACTGTGAAAACAATCAATTTATAAATACATGAATAATGATAATTTTGAATTTGCATAGCGGGACTAAATTGTCAGGCTGGCTACTGGCCACTGTCAGGCATGATTTGTTACACTACTCTAACTAGCTTGTCAGTCGAGGATACTTTGTCTTCTGTTTAGACTAAAACCAACACTAAATTCTTACTAAAACAAAGTGTAATAACCATTATGCACTTCCCTCTTAAAATAATGCTGCTATCTATAATAATTAGGCCCAAAAAATACCTGTGGTTCCAGTTTCTGCTGACCCTGTTATTTTTTGACATAATTGACTGTGCAACCCTATTTTCTCCGGCTGGTTGTGGACTGCTCATACAGTGTGCCAAAATGGTATCTGTTGAAAATCGTCTACTGAAAAACGCCCAGCAAAAAACCACCAAAACCATGAAAAAATATTTTTAAAAATTTTTTTCCCAACCACCTACCCTAAATTTTTCATGATATGAAACAGCCACAGGTATTTTTTTAGGCTTTAGTCTCTGGTATTAATAATTGTTCTCTTGTATGCATGTGTTTCAAGGTTTGCATAATGCTATCTAGTGATTAGAACTCTCTCATATTCTTGCATATTTCAATATCATTTTGTCATCTCAATCTCGGCCGTAGCCAAGTTCATCATTTTTGGATACTTTGCTTTGCTATGATCTAGTTCGTGTTGCGACCATTCCAGCATCTTCACAATTTTTGCCAACCTCGGTGTAGTCGGTTGGTTTTCCTCTTCTAGGATGGCTGCGTTAAGTTCGCTTGCAATCTTTTGCCGTTGGGAAAGCTGAAGTAGCTCGCCGAATGGGGATTCCTCTGCGTTATCGAAAGCCAGTAACGCCATTGTACGTTCGAGCTCTTCCAAAAATTGAGGATTATCTTTACCTTGTTCGGCCATCTGATTCTGTGCAAACTCTACTGCGCCGTCAATGTCCTTGTTCCTTATAAGCTCTATTAGTCTTTGTTGTTGTAAATGAAAAAATAGATGTGGTCTACTGTCTAAGATTTCTGGATTAAAATTATTAGTTAGGTGCATTGCTTTGACAATATCACCGCCTTGGACAGCTTCTCTGATCTGTATGCGTTCATCCATGCCCGTTAGAGGAATCTCCGATTGTAGCTTGGCCTCTAGTTTAAATTTCCCTGCAGCCTGTTTGAAGCCTTCAGTCACCAAATAGTCCATTACCAGAGAGTTCATTTCGTTCCGAGGTATACGCAATTCTTGTATTTTTTCAAGCCATTCCTCTTTGCTTATCTCTTCTATCTTTTCTGGAGAGCTCATTTGTGTTGTTTAAAACTTCAAAAGGTTATTTTTCGCCTCAAAAACCAGAGGAAATAATTTTATTTCTGGCAAAAGTGAAAAATTTCCAAAATAAATTTTTGAGCGGAGGCTGGTACGAGTTTTGAATAAATTTAGTTTTCTCGTTCCAGTCTCTTTTGTAATCCATAACCATTTTTCAAACTAAAATTTTACCAGTTTTCAAATCATTTCTCCCTTTTTTAACCATATATAGTCTAAAGCAGAGCAATTACCACCCAAAATTATAAAGAAACCATTAAAATAGTTTCTTTGGGTGTAAAATATTCAAATTTTTAACAAAAACGTTTGCTCGGCCGAAACTGTTCAACTCACCGGGCCTGCACTTTTATTGTCAACCGCACGTGATTTGTACAAGTTTCGCAGGCTCGTTCTCTCTTTTTGCTCTTTTCAAAGGTACCAAATATTTTTAAAAGGTTTGTGTTTTTAATCCTTGAAAATCTGGAATATTTTCAACCCATCCTATAATTCTATCCACGTATTTATGCAGAATAGGTATCAATCTCGCTCCCTACCAGATTTGAGAGAAATCGATACAGTAGTTCTTATTGTAGAGCATGTTATAAAATACGTACGTATGTATTGAAAGTCAAATATATTTATAATAAAGCTATCCAGTATAAATCAAGTTAGTTTAGGTTTCCTCTTGTAATAACACTGGAACAGCAAAATATAGCCTTATTGGGAGCTCTTATTGGAAAGCAGTTTTTCTTTAAATTGAAGTAGTGAGTAGGCTATGTGGAATTTTAACAAAAACTAAAATTCTGAACTTTGTTTTGATCTAGTGAGTACCAAACATGGGAGCTTACAAATATCTTGAAGAACTCTACAAAAAGAAACAATCCGACTTGCTACGATTTCTCCTGCGTGTACGATGCTGGCAGTACCGACAGCTGACCACCATTCATCGAGCGTCCAGGCCCACACGGCCAGACAAAGCCAGAAGGCTTGGTTACAAAGCTAAGCAAGGCTACGTTGTCTACCGTGTGCGGATTCGTCGTGGCGGACGCAAAAGGAAATGCCCCAAGGGAAACACGCACGGAAAACCTGTCAGACAGGGTGTGAACAAATTGAAGTTCCAGAGAAGTCTTCGCTCTGTTGCCGAGGTAGTTTTATGTCTCTTGTCCCGTACAACAGGGGCGGATCTACTGTGGGGGTGCAGGGGGGGTGTACACCCCACATAGTGGTGTCTAGCATCTCCGTAGAGAAGTCCAGCGCCACCCTGAAAAATCTGCGTTACCACACATTTTCTGCTTTACAAATAGCAATTAGTGGAACTTCTACTGTTAGAGTGTTCTTTGTTAGCACATGTCATTGAGCTGGAAAGGAAATGCTCAGAATGCTTGTGTTAAGCTACGTTTACACGCTACGATTTGTCGTGTACGATTCGTATTCTGGCGTATTAAAACGAGTGCTGGCACCATAATTCATTGCCGTTTCGTTAAAAAGAAATTTCAAATGTAGCCAACTTGCACATGTTTACTCAATGACATACGCCAGAAAACGAATCGTACACGATTAATCGCGGCGTGTAAACGTAGCTTTAAATATCATGCTTAACTATGTAAACGTTGAGGTTGTTAAACAGTGAGGTTGTTAATTAAACAGTGTGATGTGCTACGCAGCAACTTTTCCGGTCACACATGCATGATAAAAAGTTGATATAAACTTTATAAACAAAAGATACTGTTAACCTCTGAATATAAGCTCACCTCATTCCAAATTTTAGCCCATGGTTTACGGTAACTGAAAATGTAAAACTAGATGAGCCCAGATTCACCCTTGTTTTAATTTTTTTCTTATCCTAGGAAAGAGCTGGGCGTTACTGTGGCGGACTCCGTGTTCTCAATTCCTACTGGATAGGCCAAGATTCCACATTCAAATTCTTCGAGGTAATCATGGTAGACCCGGCACACAACGCCATCCGTCGTGACCCGCGGATCAACTGGATATGCAAGGCAGTCCACAAACATAGAGAGCTCAGAGGTCTCACTGCGGTCGGAAGAAAGAATCGTGGAATCCGGAAAGGTCATTTGTACAACAATGTCCAAGGTGGTTCTCATCGTGCAAATTGGAAGAAGCACAATTCGCTCTCGTTGCGTCGATATCGCTAGATTTTGTACAAAATGATTGTGAAATAAATGTTCTGAAAGCAATCTCTATATTCTCAATTTGTATTTTAACCCAATAAGCCACAATGAATGCATGTGCAGTATCATTCAGCGGTGTTTGAGAAAGTACTTTTTTTGCTCCGATACTAATGCCTTATGATTGTATTTTGGCTAGGAATGGCTTAAACCTGTGGTATATTTTAAAGAATGGCTGGGTTTATGCTGTATTTTAAAATAAGCTTGAGTGGAAAGTGAATTCCATGAAGGCTCTATAATTATGAAGCAATGTAGAAATGATTGGGAACACAGAAGAATCACACCAATTTATACGGAATATGTTTTTACAAATATTATACAACAGACCATTCCAAAAAACATCACCTCTAACTTGTAAATAACAGACTCAAACTTGTATATTTCCATATATTTTACATATAAACCACAGGATATAAACTAACTACTATTCTACGCTTCAAAATAGTTTGGGATAATTTTCAAACTCCTCTTTGGTATATTCATCTAGTTTCTTCGGCATCGAGGCCGGTGCTTCTAGTTGAGCATAAATATTTTCAGCATAAGGGTGATCCTCCCCTTCAAATAAAAACAGTCTTGACATATAAATCTTTCTAGAGTTGTTTTTGGGAAGCATTCCATTTATAGCACGCCATAGGACTCTGGTTGGGTCTTTCTGGTGCAGGGCAATAGCATTGGTTTCTTTCAATCCACCGGGATAACCTGTAATATAAGATAATGAACGTATGTCAATGGTAAGATGACAGTCGGTGATATAAGCCTAATAGCATCTATGTATACAGCCTCGGACAAATGAGGATGAAAGTTGATGATGGTTTAAATTTTCGCGGTAACTATCCAGTCAACCCCTGAGCGCTCCCCCCCCCCCCCCTTCCGGAAAATTGACGAATTTTCGGAAATTTTGATCGAAAAGAGGGCTAAAAACAGTCTTTTCAAGTGCAAATGGGGGGTATGTCAGAAATTTGAAAGTTTTGTCGGAAATTTAGGAGGCTTTGCCCCCCACCGGAAAAAGTGAATTTCCACCACTAAACACGCAACATGATGTAACAACATTGTAACACCATGTAACAAATAATGCAACTTTCACAGTAACACAATGTAGAACCTTTACAACATATCAAAGCAACTCCCAACGGTGCATGCTATACCTGTATGATGCCTGTACACTTTCCTATCCCATTTCCTTCCGCTAAAAGCAATGTCTTTTGTGTTTACAACCACAACAAAGTCGCCTACATCTGCTTTAGGATGCCATATTGGTTTAGTTTTGCCTTGTAATACCGTAGCAATATAAGCCGCTAGTCGGCCGTTTATTTGATCCTTTGCATTTATAAGGTACCACAGTCTTGTGTGAGTTACAAGACTCTGTCTAAAACGATTCCCCACTAGCATAACTAGTCGATTTCGCCAGGCAAATTTTGGTAAAATATTGACTTTTAAATTTGCACATGGTTTTCGAAAACGAGCATGCGATATTTTGAACAGCAGTGGCTAAAATACCATCGCTCTGAGGACGAATATGGCCAAAAATTCATTTATAAAATTCAACGTTTTAGAAATTTTAGCTCTTTGCAGTACTGTTTTATGAACGTATGATAGGTTACAGTGACTGTTTATTACAGTATGTACTTGGTTTTAGCAATAATAGCAATTAAACCTTTAAAAATAACGATAATGTTTCTATAACTCAACTCTGAGAAGTTGTATTGTTCATATTTTAGTGACAATGTACATTTTTGTTTGTTGAATAAATTAATTGAATAGCACATTTCAAGAAGAATTACAGTAAGATTGTACGAATTGTACTGTCCAACTACAAATCATAAATTTTATGATTTTATAGTTTCTTCATATTTTCACGTCAAAAATATCTTATTTCAAACGATGGTTTTTAAGTCAAGCGGTAGCGCGGATTTACTGGAACGAGTTCGAAATTCGAAGTGCCAATTTTCAAAAAATTTTCGTGTAAAAAATTTAAATTCTTGCTAAAATACGATGGATTCTAGTGAGTAGCATTAATATATTTGCTTTTACTTCAAACCATAATATAAAGGAATATATTTAGTGGTCTCTTTGATAATATTTGTGTGTGTTTTTAAGGTTTTTCTCGGGTACCTTCAACCGGTCTACAACTGACGCCTACGTCTAGAGGTGGCAGCATGATGGGGCAAACGGGATCAATGAGTTTTGGTACGCCGAGCCATGGTCAGAATACAAGCAGTTATCTTCCTGGATATCTGCTAGGCGGACATACCCCTTCTCAAATGGTAGGTATCATTGACCAGCGATCTTCGGGTCTGAATGAAAAGATAGTTTGGCTGATCATTTGTCTGTGGTCGATTGTGAGAGATAAACTACTTGAAGAATAGAAACAGGACTTCAGTGTTTTGAGCGAAAGCCCTTCGTCACCCTTCATGAAGGCCCTTTGCTCAAAATGTCAAAGTTCTGCATGTATTTTTCAAGTAGTTGTATATCTTTTATAATCCGCAGTTATTATCATCTCTACCTACCCCCTCCCCCCAGCACACCATCTCCCCGCCCAGCACACCATCCCCATCACACCCTACCACCATGCCATCCCTGGAAAGTATCCCACCTACCCCCATAAAAATTTCTAACATAAATTGCACCAATCTTATTGTTTTAGTCTCATTCCCACGACATGTCGTATGGTCAAAGTTCTCGTAACAGAAGTCCTGGGAAAATGAAATCATGGTCACCGTCAAGGTCTGGTGGACAGATCTACGGTAGTCATGGAAAGTCAAGTGCGAACAGGGACAGAAAAGATGTCGGCCAGATCCGACACACTATGTATGTATTCTGAGGTTATAATTCATTTGTAGATAGATTGATTGATCAGGTAGTTAGTCAGGCAGTTAATCAGAGTGAGGGGTCCGCCACGGCATTCGAAAGTGTACAAGATTTCGAAATCAGGTGATTTCTAACCTGATTTCTTGTTTTTTAACCTGATTTCTGTTGATTTCTAACCGGATTTCTGTTGATTTATAATTGAGTTTGAGTCAAATGTTTCCCAGCCAGTCACTCACTCTGGCTCAGAGTTGTTAACAAGTCCTATGTTGCAAGTCCAAGTCAAGTCACAAGTCATTTCCTGCAAGTTCAAGTCAAGTCACAAGTCATTTGGTCTGAGTTCAAGTCAAGTCACAAGTCATTTTGTCTAAATCCAAGTCAAGTCAAGTCACAAGTCATTCCGAGTGGCAAGTCAATTCAAGTCAAGTCACAAGTCATTTTATCGCCACATGTGGCCATGTTTTCTCACGCAAAACGACAAAATATGTAAATATGGTGTCGTTATTTTATGTCAGAAATTTTACCACGAAATCGCGAAAAAAAAAGCTTTGTCAGAAAATATGCCGGCACAAATTCTGTCGATGCCATTGATACACTAAGGTCGTTGCCCAAATTGTACAACACGACGATCGATCGATCAACACAAAGATTTTGGAAAACTTGATTTTCAGTATAGATATTTACGTTTGACTTGCGTTGGTAACAAGTCATTTCTTGCAAGTCCAAGTCACAAGTCATTTTGCCCAAGTCCAAGTCAAGTCACAAGTCATCAGTCTCTTTAACAAGTCAAGTCACAAGTCACAAAAATTGCGACTCGAGTCCGACTCGAGTCCAAGTCACATGACTCGAGTCTACAACTCTGCTCTGGCTCAGCCAGTGAACTCTAATAAGAGTTCACTGGGCTCAGCTAAGCCAGTCATTCAAGTGAGTCAATGAGTTATTAAACCAGTCATAGCTACTTATTTAGTTAGCTACTATATGCAGTATAAGATTTCAAGCTCTGCTAACGCTCTTATTTTTTCAACGTAATTGACAGTGCAACCCTATTTTCTCAGAGTGGTTGTAGGCTGCTCATACAGCGTGCCAGAATGGTGTCTGTTGTCACACTAATTATTGAACCAAATTGCTTAAATTTGTCCATAGGAAATATGCAGCTCTGGTTAATATTGATGTCGGGACTCTACTGAAAATTGCCCAGCAAAAAACTGCCAAAATCATGAAAAAAATATTCAAAAAAATTGTTTATTTTCGACTTACCTACCCTAATTTGTTCATGATATCAAATGAAACCGGAACCACAGGTATTTTTTTAGGCCTTATTGCCATGACCGGCACTGGTGCAGACCATTCTGTGTCAAGAATTATTTTTTCATCATTCTTACAGCAGTGAAGGTCACACTCCAAAGAGTCTAAGAGGAAAGGCTCCTCCTGTGGCAGATCTTTTTAATGACACAAGCCCAACACAAAGTCCAATGAGAAGAGAAAACCAACATGTAAATTATATAATTATATTGTAACAATTTTATCATGGTGATAAAAATGTATTGTATGCAAATGATAGAAAACATTATTAAATTATTATGACATATTAATTTCTAGATGGATGTGCATATGGTTACACTTGCATCACAGACTAATTCTCCTAGTAAGTCGACTGGCAAACAATTTTTTAAAGTGCGACTAACTCCAAATATGATTTTTTGTGTGTGTAATATTTGGATCATTCTGAGAAGAAATGTAATATATCTTTATAATAAAAAATCCCATCTTGATCAACTTTTTCACTATCAAAGTTTTCCCGGATATGATGTCATTAGGTGAATTGTGAATTAGTTTTCCTTTGTTTTGTTTTTTTTACCAAAAATTCACCTAACGACATCATATCCGGAAACTTTGACAGTGAAAAAGTTGATCAAGATGAGGTTTTTTATTATAAAGATACATTACATTTCTTCTTAGAATGACCCAAATATTACACATACCAAAAATCATATTTGGGGTTTGTCGCACTTTAATGATTGAGGAAAGAAAGATGCAAGGAAGTTTTGTTATATAATACACCTTTCTACACATGCAAATCTATCATCTTGTAGCAAGTCTGCCAACAAGCCGTCAACAAGTTGTGTTCGCACTGCTTGTCCCAAGTTATCAACAAGTTTGGCACAAGTTGTTAACAACTTGTAACAAGCTTGATGGCATTATCAGACTTGTAGCAAGGTTGTTCCAACAAGTCCGATACAGTCATGATATAACAATATTGTTACAACCTTGTGTTGTCAACCTTGTACTCTTGTAGCATTCTTGTTATATCATGACTGTATCAGACTTGTTAGAACAACCTTGTAACAAGTCTGATAATGCCATCAAGCTTGTTACAAGTTGTTAACAGCTTGCTCCAAACTTGTTACAACAACTGGGAACAAGCAGTGCGAACACAACTTGTCGACAGCTTGTGAACAGATTTGTAACAACTTGTTTGCAGACCTGTAACAACTTGTGCATTTTTACGTGTGTAGTTCAGCAAATATACAACTAGTATGGAATTTTTTATTTAACATTTGACTAATGTATTTTTGTTCCTAGGTCACAGATCACGACATAGCACAACAGATTTTCGAGAGCATTTGTTGAGTCCTTCCAGAAAACCTATTTCATCTCCTGCTCAAATAGATCCATTCTACTCCCAAGGGTAAAGGACAAAGCAAAAATGTTATGCACTATTTAAAACACAAGCAGGAGTGTTTCAGGGTGCGATAATCCACAATTTTTAGTCGTACCCGACTGGTACGCCAATGGTCGTTGCCGCGTACTTGCGCTTGTACACAATCAGTACTCAATTTGTACTTAGTCATTAAAATAAGGTTCATAAAGTACAGGTTTCTGAAAAGTATGTTCAGACTACGAGGTAGAAAAAGAGCACAATTGGTCAATTGCATATACAAACAATCGACTCCAACGTTTCTTAATGCCGTCAGTTCAATCATGTTTCATGTCAAGACATCTCAGACACATGATATACCAACTAAATTACGGTATTGAATACCTTGGACTTGGAAAGGTCATGTCAGGGCGCAAAATAACGGCCGGAGGGTCGCCGGTCAAGGTGACCGACCAACTCAATTTTAGCTCGGACATACCGAATCTCTGGCCGGTCAAATTATTCAGCTTAAAGCAAAGCTTAGTAAAGTATACCCTTAAAAATGTGACTATTTTCCAAGTATAGCATTACAAAAAGCCTTACTGTAATCAGTAATTAAAAAGTCCTTCACATAAAACAGCTTGCACTTCGCTAAAACCATGGCCTTAACTCGTGCATAAGCTAAAAGCATGGCCATGGGTTTTGTGACGTACTGCGTGGGAAAGCTTGCCCGTACATTGAAGTTCTTTTCCCGCAAAATATTCGACAACATGTTATGGTTCTTAATTATAATACTTGACAACTTTATTTTGATTATTAATTCAAATGAAGAACAGTTTGTTCTTTTACCGAAAGTGAGCGATCAAAATGACCGGCAAGTTAAGAAGAATTTGACCGGACAACTCCGCATTCTGGCCGGTCTTTGTCCGTTGACCGGCCGTTATTTCGCGCCCTGCATGTGCGCAGATAGCAAGAGCTCTGCTTACCTACGTGGGACTTGGCTGAAAACAAAGAAGTACAAGACCGTAATATTGGCGTACCTCCGGTACATACACTAAGTACGTGAATTATCGCACCCTGGTAGGTCACAATATCATTCATGGTGACTTATTGTGTTAAAACATTCTGAACACCTTTATTGCAGTGAAAGTATCACAACAAACGAAACACTAGATGAATGTTCTATTACTGCTTTTGGGTATGAAATTCTTTCATTTTGTGAAGAAAGTGTAGTCTATAGGCCCATTGCACATGACGTCACAGCGCCGGCGACGATGCATCTGGAGGACAAGTTAGCAATCTATGCATAATATAACTTTTGTAAACAAAGCAAATTTTGTAAAACTTTATAATAATTTTGTATTAAAATGGTTAGTTTTTGTGCTGTATGTGGTTGTTGTACCCGAACAGATATTGTTAGGGAGCATCTGGAGGACACTCTAAGGGATTTGTGACGTCAGTGCAAAGGGTCTATATTGTTCACTGTAAAAACACTCTGGAAAGTGTAGTCTAAATTGTAGTATAACATTATTTACTTTCAGGTTTCCACCATCAGCAAGTTCTTTTCTTCTGCAACAGTTCTCGCAGTATGGAAGTATTTTAAAACACGAAGTATGTTATTATGTAAAGTTTAAACATTTTTGGAAGGAAATTCTATTTGGTATAGCCTTTCTGTGTTTTATTATCGTTTTATCAAGGTTGCCTCAAGTGGAAATTGGATGCACATAAAATACCAATCAAAACTTCAAGCCAAAAAGGTAGCTGCAAAATTCCATTTTCTCAACACACAGTATTCATCACCACTATTGTTGCTGTCAGCATCATCATTACCACTATAATAATGATTAATTATCACCACAACCATCATCACCATAACCACCATCATCATATCACCACAACCTTTATCACTGTAACCATCATCACCATAACCATATCATCACCATAACCACCATCACCATAACCATAACCATATCATCACCATAACCATATCATCACCATATCATCACCATAACCATATCACCATGACCATATCATCACCATAACCATATCATCACCATAACCATATCATCACCATAACCATATCATCACCATAACCATATCATCACCATAACCATATCATCACCATAACTATATCATCACCATATCATAATAACCATATCATCACCCTAACCATATCACCATAACTATATCATCACCATAACCATATCATTACCATAACCATATCATCACCATATCATAATAACCATATCATCACCATAACCATATCATCACCATAACCATATCTTCACCATATCATCATCATAACCATATCATCACCATAACCATATCATCACCATAACCATATCATCACCATAACCATATCATCACCATAACCATATCATCACCATAACCATATCATCACCATAACCATATCACATCCTTCATCACCATAACCATCATCACCATAACCATCATCACCATGACCATATCATCACCATGACCATATCATCACAACCTTCATCACCATAACCATATCATCACCATATCATTACCATAACCATATCATCACCATAACCATGTCATCACCATAACCATATCATCACAACCTTCATCACTGTAACCATCATCACTGTACTGTCAACATGATTTGTGCACCATCAATATCATGTTAAGTAACACGATCACCATTAATGAGAAAGAAAGACTCGTCACCACCATCATCATTAGCGTAACATATGAACTAAAATTTCTTTGTTGATCGTTTTGGTTAATTTGCTTTTTAATTGTCAAAGGCATTGAGCAAAAATGGGAAAATATTTGGCAACAATATGATGGTCGGTGTTAAACAATGCATTGATAAGGTTAGTTCCCTGTTTCCAGCGTTGTAAAGTTTTTCCCTGTAATTTTAAGATCTTGTGGATTTGTAATTTTTTCCTTTTGTAATTATAGAGTTTTATGTTTGAAACTGGCAAAGAGAATCTTCCAACCTCAGCCACAACCTCGCTGTCTGTTTCGAGTGATGTCGCTGCTCCTTCGCCATCTAGAAAAACGCCCATACGTCCTTTGACAGCGGCCTATCAAGCAGCCAGTAGTGACATCGAGGTACACACTATGATAGAGTCGCAAAATGCAACTATAAACCCTCTGGCAGGAATAGAACCTGCCGCCCTGCGATTCCGGTGCAGCGCTCTAACCAACTGAGAGGTGGTGTGGGGAGGAGTGCGCACCTCCCCTGAGATCGTTTTGCCCCTCCCCTGAAAAGTCATGCACCTCCCCTTGGGCAAGATTCAATGATAGATCAAAGTGAAAATTTGACATTTTTTGGTTGCTTTATGGTCTACACTTCGTAAGAAGGTTTTTTGTAAAATTGAAACAGTGATAGCCATTCATGTCTGTGTCAAGTACCATTTTATTGCACTGTTTTGAAAGACACTTTGTAGTAATTGTAATGAAGGGCCAAACTGGATGGATGAGTTGTACAGTCATAATTCATGAATACACTGATGCATATGTACACTACATGCATACGTCACGTCGTTAACTTTGGCCCGTTAATCCCTAACTTTCCATGGGGTCCTGAGCTAGACCGCTGCACCTCCCCTAATTTTTTCCCACCTCCCCCCCCCCCCC